TACTGTGCTCCACCTCCCTCCTCATCCTTCATAGACTCATTTATTGTCAGAGCGTCTGTGACAGAGCGACCACCGCGCAGGACGACGGCGGCCGCGTTCCTCTGACCGCAGCACTCAGACTGACGGGGTCACAGCCGTCTGAGCCCCACGGCCAGGGCCTCAGCGGTGTCACTGAGGGGACAGAGACCGACCACTGAGTGCTGTGAAGGCTCTTCACATAAATGTCACATCCAACACTTGTAAAGCTGTCAAACAGGAGGCAATACTTCCTGTGGGTGGTGCTAGAGTCTGAGGATCAATGAAAATAAAAATCCATTAATAACATTTGATCATTAAGTCTTTCGTTTACAAAGGCCGTTGAATTCTTCTTAGATAAGAGGACAACCGTAAATGGGAAAAACGTCCACCACCTGCTACAAACATCACAAATGAAGATAGGAGATACAACAGAAGACAAGAGTCTAAGACGCTTTGGACATCTGCTGAATATAGATATAAATGTTGGTGTAAACGTAGGAGGCAGGAAAATATGCTGCTGTGAGCACAAACAACAAAAGCTAACGTTAGCCTCAATAGTCCTGATACAGACACCAGAGCTTTAGCTAAAACACCGTTAGCTAAAACAGAGACCAGAGCTAATGTTAGCTACAACAGTCCTGACGCAAACATCAATACTAATTTCAGCTACAAGAGTTCTGACACAAACACCAGCGCTAACATTAGCTTAAAACAGTCCTGGCATGGACAACAGTGTGGCTGGTCAACAACAGACCAGCTGATGGGGCCAGAGCCAGAAATGTCTTCAAATGTTGAATACTAACAGCTGTAATTTTACTGTCAGTTTGTACTACTCCATGAATGTAGTAGACAGATGAAAATATACAGACATTTTCTCATGGTTTATCTACCATAATGCTAACCCAAATAAACACCTTTATGTAATCTATTGATGAGTTTCCTCCATTCTCAATGTTACCATTCCATCAACCTAAATCTCACATAAACTGGATTTATTCAATGATTTATTCAATTGTTTGTCTGATTAAAAACAAGCTGCAGCTTCTTCTCTGTCTTCATTTGTTTGATTTAGGGAGATCCCGTAAAACACATTTTGATTGGTGGAACTGTTGGCGTGTAGAAAGCCTTGACAAAGCAGCGCTGTCACCAGGCTGCCAATAAAAAAATGACACCTGTCTCAGCCAATGCCGGTGCAGCAGCTCAGCTGCGGTCAGTCGATAAACCAAACATGGACTGGACAGGTCGCATCACCCTGAACGGACGTCCGTCTGTGAAACAAGGTCACAGACGACAACAGACCGGGAGCGGAGCATCAACACGGAGAACAAACCAGCGTAAATATCAAACCTCTGAAACACAATCTGTGACCTCGCAGTGACTCGCTTCAGATATGAGTCTGAAATAAACATTTATCCTCTCTGGAGAAACCCTAAAATGCACCACGATGTGCTTGAGTCACCCAGATGAACCTCCAACATCCAACTGTCGACATTTTCATAATAACAAATGACATCACATGACCATTAGTCGAGCAAACCCAAACTGTAAAAGCGAAGAACTGGCCGTGGACACGGACCACAGCTCATTACACACGTCAGTAGCAGTCTTTTGGTTTGACATGGAATCACATTTTCACAGATAATGTTTACAGGAATCAAACTCACACTCATCCCACGCTGTGATGAGACACCAACAGTATGTTTCAGTTTTCATCACCACACTGGTCATTTCCCAGCTTTTAGCAGCAGGTTTCAACCACAGCAGCTCATGATGTGGTAAAACAAAAAAAAAAGATGAGTTCAACTTGTTCAATCAGGGTTATGAATCATCTTAAAGCCAAAGAAATCTGTAGTTAAAGCTGTTTTTAACACTTCTGTATTTATTTTATCAGTTGGAGGGGAAAATATTGGTTTTGTATTTAATCTGTACCCGAAGAAGACTTTTGTTGTGTCAAACCTCAGTGACTTAAAGATTGAAACCTTCAGGTCTTAAACATAAACATGGAGGCAAATAAACAACACACACCTGCAGATAATTTGGAGAGGATTTAAATTCAATTAAAGCTGATCCTGTGCAGTAGAAATACATAGTTTTGCCAAGTTATAGCTACTAATGTATACTACATTCTAATAACTTAATAACAGCAAATCCTCCCAGATAATTATATCACAGTTTCTTCAACTTCAGTTGTTTACCTTTGTTATATATTTGACATTTTTGGTTGTCTATTTCTGAGCAATCTTGAACTTTCTTTACTCTTTTGTAACTAGATCTGAGCTAGCTTTTAGCCACATTAAAATATGTTTTAAAAAACATATGTTTCTATATTTATTGGTGTGTCTGTTTTTGCTAACAATCAGCGATGTCTGGACTTCTGAGAGTTAGCAGTAAATTCTACTTTTGCTCACTTGGTAGATAAACATAGCTGTTAGCATGTTAGCCTCAAGCTAATCAACTAGCATCAACAGGTCATTACCATAGCTTAGCAGCTAACAAACGAGACGAGTCAAATCCACCTTTGGTGACCACTTGTTGTCCAACTCACCCTCGTGAAGAACGTCCTGCTGGTCGGAGAGAGTCACCAACCGAAGATCCATCACCTGTCGTCATCACCTGTCGTCATCACCGTCCAGTACTGCCAGGAGAAAAATGTGGGATTAAATTATGATAGTATTTTAGGGGAATCATCGTACACACGTCATAATCAAAATAACAAATGTATTAATGTGCTACAACCATTTTAGTGTCGGTTTCCCGATGCGGTGAAGTGCGTTCTGTTTACCTCGGACGTGGGCGCTAGGAATGTCGTCATAGCCAAGTTATTAACGTTCCCGTTTCAAAGTTGGAAAAAAGAGTTGTCGACGGTTTTCAGTGTCTAGTTTACACCGTGTGTGTTTGTGTGTTGGCTTAAAACGCGTTTCTTTTTCGCGTATTCTCTAAAGGATTTGTGTTATTTATATGATTTTTATTTCGTTTTGATTTACTTTTGTTTTTAATAACCGTTAATAACCGTTACGGCAACTTACTTTCTCCGCCATCTTTTTTTCCCCTCCTCCTCCTTCCCGGGGGCCTCTCATTTTTTCTTCTTGTTGTATTTTTTCCTTTTCCTTTTATTCTTTTCCTCTTTTTATAACATTTTTCGTTGATCGAATACCGTCCGAACACGACTGGTTCGTGGGACGGGCGCAGCAGACCACTTAGAAAATCATGCTAATAGTTCTGAGGCCAAACCATGGACGTCACTCGTAGCTCACATTTAGAAAAAAGCACGATTGGCTGGAAATTGGTCACATAGAAACAGATGCCTTCAGGGTTCATAAAAAAAAAAATCAGAACATAAAAAATCAGCAAATTTGAAGTTAATAAGAACATTATTATCTTTTATTATAATAATAATAACAATAATTAATATTATTAATATGTTGTTTTTATAATAATTATTGTTATTATTGTATTAATAATAATAATAATAATAATAAGCAAATGTTAGTGTGAGATTTGGTAGCAGGCCACCACTAGGGAGGCGCTACCTAAAAGATAATTACGATTGCATTTGGTTAGAAAAAGAGAGAAAATATGAGATGGAGAAAAGTCACTGAGAATCTTCACCAGGTGAGACTGACAGCAGGGTAGTCAGAAGTACGGTGACAGTAAACGCCTCGTGTCGTGGGGCATCAGCACCAACGACGTGACGACGACGAACATCAACATGACTGTAACAGATCCCACTGTACCCTGACATTACTGGAGTGTGGAGCGATGTGGATTGACGTGGATGCCTCTGAAATACCACTTCCTGTTTATTGCCACACCATCACCAGGTTCCCTCCATTTTTCATCACCCCTGCGTTGTGTTTAATGTTGTTTCCGGGCCGTCACCCCGGGGGGCTGTAATGGAGTGACGGACGCCACACAAACACATTTGGGTAATGCCATGGGTGGTGGTGGTTGGAGGTAGGTCTGGGGGGGGGCGGAGGCGTGGGCGGGGACATTGTGTCCTGCATTTGTCAAAATAGGATCTGTACGAGGCTAATGATCCAGGAGAAATTAATGAGTCCATAAAATAGAAAAATCCAGCGCTCACACAAGCATGACAGGATCCTGTGACTTTGATAAACTGTTAAATGACAGATAATCAGGAGGGGGCGCCGCCACTACAAGGTGATGTCTCTATATGTGCCGGGGGGGGGGGGGGGGGGGTGTTTACATCTGCTCCTCCGTGACTCACACACACTTTCATGTCTTTACAAAACGTTGAACGTTACATGGAAATGAACAGATTTATTTATTGGTCATTCTCAGACAGCGCCGCCCTGGTGTATAGTCCTGTTCACTGCAATATAAAGCAAAGAAAATAAGGCCTTTTAGTCTGTAGCTGACACGTGGTGTTTTCAGGAGTGTCAAACATACGTCCCGCGGGCCAAAACTGGTCCACTAGGAATTTCAATCCTTGATAAATTTGTTCAAATGTTTTGTAAAATTATATTTCATTAAATAAGAAGATTTTCTAACAGATTTGGTTTTGTTTTTATATAAATCTTTTTTTCACAGACCAACATCTCTTGGGCCAAATATAATTACACTGCGGGCCAGATTTGGCCCCCGGGCCTGAGTTTGACTTTGACCATACAACAAAAAAAAAAGTGTAAACTTACTTCACAGTACGACGCAGTACTACTGCCCACCACAGAGTACTCTTTGATGCAGTGTACACGTGCATGGCAGTAAATGAGTATGAGTGTGTGAATATGTATCAGGCTGTGACGTGAACAAGGGTTTAAT